GTTGCCCTTGAACAAATTTAAATAAAATTGTGTTATATTTCTTTTTTTTAATACTTTGTACACTTAGTTGTTAAAAAGTCAATAAAAATTTAAATGTCATTTAGTATCAAAATAAAATCTCAAATATAACATTTCAGTAATTCAAAATATGTGTTACCATTTAAATACATACTTAATTATTAAATAATGATTCTAAAATAATATTAAACTTACTCAATGACTGTATCTCGTCATAACTTCTTTTACGTTATTTTTCGGACATCTTTAACCTTTCATTGGCTCTTCTTTATTTTTGTGCAATATTCAAATCAACTCCTAATATAATACCAGGACGTCCTTTTTGTCTTTGCATTAATAAAAAATCTCTATCATCTTGTAATGACATTAAATTAAGGGCATCAACTTGAGCAATGTCAAACAAATATTAAAAAAAAAACCCGATAGTACTTGTATTATTGACGTAATTTACTACCAATAATTTGGTTTGACGGGAAACCAATCAAAAATATAAATGTATCTTTTCGTAAAGTTTTCCGTGAAGCCATTTTAATATGTATTCAAAAAATGTTAAAATATCAAAATTATTGTAAACACTAAATGTATACGATTTAAAAATGATCATACGGGCGCAATAGAACTAATGAAAACAATAACCTGAAAAATGTATAGTCAGGACAAATATTAGTAATGGGTTTTGATTAAGACTTTATCGTCCTTTTAGTCATTCTTGTAATAAATTGTGACTTGATGGTTTGATAAAAGTTTATTCAAGATTATACATTGCTGTTATGATAAATTACGAAAATTACCACGAGTTGAAAAACTACAATTAACATTCACTTTATTTTGTGAGTTTTTAACAACAAAATTATTTGTATATTGACTTTTTATACATAAATAATAAGTAAATCAAAAGATTGTTCAGAATATAATTTGTGTAAAATATTATTTTAAACAGTTTTTGTTCTTACAATTTTGTTGTGAATACATTATTTCACGCGCTGAACTAAAAAAAACAATGAAAAATGTACGGTTATCCAAAATTTTTGAGTTTTCAAACTTTAGGCCTTTTGTGGCACGGGTTAATCTTTTTTAATTTACCTGAAACATTTTTATAAGTATTGGAACTAATTGAGATTGTATAATCTTTAAATTTTACTATATTAATTTTAAGAACCATCCTAATATACACACCTCATATACTACATCATTTTTGTATTATTACAAATAAAATCAATTTTTTTGGCTTTAATGCTTCAAATCTAAAAAAATATTAATTTTACCATGATGTGTATTTTTTTCTGTCCAATATTCAGTTCTCACTGGACCACATTTAATGATCTATACGTTGAAAAACCACGATTTCAATCTTATTGAACTTTTCAAATCAAATTTTACAATACGCACAATTGAGTAAATCTTTTTAACAACTTTTTTTTTTAAATTGGACCATTTATCTTTATATAAGAGGGGTTCAAAACTTAATAATGCATATAAAAATTACAGCTTTTTCAATTTAATTTTTGAAAGTGTCCCGGAAATACTGACACTTATATATATATTAAATTAAAGCTCATGTCCATTTCTTAAAATTAAACGTTATCGACAGATTTTAACTTAATTAAAATTAATTAAGTTCTAAATAGTTTCATTGTAGAATCTTTTTAAACACTAAAAGTTAATTAGAAACGATTACTATGATTTTTATTTAAGTGATCTATTACGATAAAAATGTAAAAAAAAATCGAACTTTTCTGATAAATTTACTGTAAATAGTGATTATAAAATTTCCTGACTGCATTTTAATCTTAACAATTTCATGTTTTTCTATTTAATAATGTCAATATCAAACTTGCAAGTTGAGCTAAAAGTTATGGTAATAAATTCATTTTTTTTTTATTAAAAACTTTCACTTTAAAGAACGAAATAAAGGAGGTTAAAAATTATTACTTTTAACATATTAAAGTCATGAATAATTTTTATCGTGAGAATTATAGAATTAACTTCTAAATGTACAAAATTTTAAAAAATATTGTTAACAACTATTTTATCATCATTCTAACCGCTATTGTAGGTATGTTACGTAAATGTTTTACTTGTATTTATCATTCATATAAAAAAATAATTCATCTATTAAAGCTTGACAACTAACAATCAGACAGTTGCATTTTACACAAATACACATTGTTTCCTACATATACTACAATCGATAAAAATTTCAAGAGTCATAAAATTTTTCCCCCAGAACAACTGCACATTTCATAGTAGAACTAACATTATTTGAGTGAGTGTCATCCGTGTGTAATTTTCCTTCAATTTACATTTTACGGCAAACCATATGCAGTTAATTCATTTTAACAAAAATATCCAGGATCATATACTGTATATTTTTATTTTCACCTTGTAGCTAAACAGATTTAACTAACTCATTGATATGATGTGGTGGAGGGGCCCCAGCTGGTTAGTTAAGAAAAGTTCTGAGTGGCCCAGGTCAACTTTTGACGAAGATCGTCGAATAGAAATATCGACAAAAGAGCGCGCAACAACGCAAGGGTTGGTGTTGGAGGTTAGTCATGACTTGTCAATTTTAAATAAATATTAGTCACTAACAAAATTGCAACGCGTTTTAGCATATTGTTATCGGTTTGTGAATAATTCGTTGGCTCAAACACGTAAAGTAAAGTATCAGTACGGACCTGTGCAGGCTGATAAAATTGATAAGTCGACTACATGCATAATAAAAGTTATTCAAAAGTACTACTTTAGTGAAGAAATATAAAGTATTCAAAAACTACGTACAATAAAACCAAAAAGTAATTTAGTGCGTTTAAATCCGTTCTTAGATAAGAAGGGCGTGCTCAAGGTGGGCGGTCGTTTACGAAAAGCGGTTAATTTGAGTCCGTTACAGCGTCATCCAGTTATATTGCCGGCTAAGTATGAATACACGAAATTAGTATTTGTTAACATGCATTTAAAACTTATGCACGGTGGACCGCAATCTATTTTGGCGTCAATCCGTTTAAAATATTTGCCACTAAATAGACGAAATATTGCGCGCCAGGTAGCGCGGGCTTGTGTGCCATGCTTTAAATATAGGCCCGTTGTAGTCCAGCCGATTCCTTAAAACATGTATTGATTTCGTGGGACCATTTTACGTAAAATCTGGTCAACGAAGAAAAATCCCCGTGAATAAAGCGTACTCGTGCATATTCGTGTGCTTTGCCATCAAGGAGATTGCCAACATAGAGTTAATAAATGACCTAACCATGCCTGCGTTTGTCAGTGCACTGTAGCGTTTCTGTGATCGTCGCGGTCTTTGTTTAGATAGTTTTTTAAACAATGCTACGAATTTTATTGGTGGAAGACGTCAGCTTGACGAGCTACACTCCTTATTTATGTCCAATGAGCACCAAGAGCAAGTTATAAATCATCTATCTAAAGTCGGTATACAGTGGCATTTCATACCCCCTCGTTCGCCCCATTTTGGTGGGTTATGGGAGGCTGCGGTCAAGTGGCTAAAATCTCATCTTTTTAAAACGCTAGAAAACGCGTTATTGACGTTTGATGAGCTCAATACAGTGTTGGTGCGCGTGGAGGCGACCTTGAATTCTCGGCCGCTAACGCCCCTTTCCAACGATCCAAACGACATGGATGTTCTCACGCCATGCAATTTTCTCATTGGCGACTCTCTAAATGCATGGCCAGAGCGTGATGAAACCAGGTGGAGAAGAGTGGTGCAGTTGTACAAGCAGTTATGGGTAGTATGGTCACGAGATTACCTTCAACAGCTGCAGAGTGATGTAAGTGGAGGTCTTCTTCTGTTCCTCGACTACAACCAGGATCTGTCGTGGTGATCCGAGAACACAATGTACCTCCTCTAAAATGGACCCTGGGGAGAGTAGTCAGTGTCACTGAAGGAGCGGATGGTAAGGCTCGTGTGGCACAAGTTAAAACAATACGTGGTATTTTTAAACGTGCTGTACGTTATTTGTGTCCCTTGCCGTTCAAAGGCAATCAGTCCGATCTTTAATAAATTAAAAAGGTTTATATTATTGTTTGTATTCTTGTATTAATTTATACTTCATAATTTATTATTATTCTATGAAAAAATATATATTTGTATAATCGTTTGTTGAATTAAGTATTTTTATATTTAATATTTGCATGTTCAATGTAATTTTACATGCATTTATATGTGCACTTATAACTAATGTATTTAAAATTGTTTCTTTTTTTGCGTATCAGATGAATTTGTTGATAGATTAATAATAATTATGAAAAAAAAAATCACCTACTGTCGCCAGTAAAAAACGTAAGAAGATAGTGTTTCTTCCGTCATTTACAGATTATAAAGTAACATTTCATGCTATAGAAAAATCTTAAAAAAATTCTAACTTAAAGACACCTTTAAATGATATAGAAACGTAACGACTGAATTAAAATAAGAGTTTTTGGTATCAACATTTTTTTTTTAAATCGCCATCTTTAAATCTTAAAATAAATGTTAATATAAATATTATTTTTTGTAATTGTGAAAAATAACATACAACATATTTTTAATATATTCCTATAATGTAAAAATTAATTTAAAAAAATAAAAATATAAAATTTTACTTAGAACATAAGTTGTATGAGTATTTATTTAGATCTGTTTCAGTCTGTGTATTAGAAAACGATATATAATTGAACAAAATGCACCTGTATTTATAATACTGTAACTGTAATATCCCTATTTAAAAGTTGTATTCTGTTCAGTATTTCAATTAATTATAAATATTATGATTTTTTTTTAATTATGAAGGTCTAAAAATTGATTGTAGCTGAACATTAAATTTCAATAATTATAATTTTACTGTTACTATAATTTTTATTGTTTAGTAAATTAAATTTAAAAGGTAGTATTTTTAATAATTAGTTAAGCATGACTAATTATAATATGACTAGTGTGACATATATTCAAAGTGTTTAATAAAAAAACAATCACATCAATTATTAAGAGCAAATTAACGTAATTTAAACACAATTTTTAGAAGAACTAATTAAAATTCTTCCTTTCTTATAAATATTTCAACATTGTATATACATTTAAAAATAGTTTTTGTAACTTTGGAGGGAGGCTGTGATAGAATTAGAGGTAATAAGTCCTCCTATACCCTCCCGGATTGCGCTAATGTATGAGCAATGGTATAAAGTAATTTATATCATATATATTGATACTTATTTCAGTTGTTGTAGATTTTTAGGAATAAAAAAATTTAATTGTACATGTTTTAATATAAATGGTGATTTTATTTTTATAACATATTATGAAATTTTGAGTCTTAAAAAAAAACAAGGTGATTCTTTTAACATCTTTTGAATGTTTTCAACATTTTATACCTTGACAGGCAAAGGAGAACAGATAAAAATTGTCTAATGATCAAAATTTATTTAATATTGTTATGCATATGTCTGATGTCCAGTTTATACTTTAAAATAGTAATAACTTCTGTAGTACTATTCTAAAAATTGTTATCAACCTGTAATTTTCTTAATTAAATAATTTTTATTTCATAAACTAGTAAAATATGTATGTTTCAATTTAAAAAAATTAGGTTGACAACCTTATAAGGTATAATGGATGAGTTAAAAAAGTTTTTAATAACTGATAAATCAAGAAATTTATAAACTAAAAATATTAAAAATAACAATTAAATTATTATTTTAAGAGATATCGAGTTACAAGTATTAAAACAATCATTAGGATTATATCAACATTCTGTATGATGAAAAAATATTCAAAAACATTAATTATATCATTATTTATAAAAATCTCATTATGACAATTTTTGAGATACATACTGTTGCAGTAAAGATGAAATCTGATATTTATTATTTTGTGATAGCATCAATGTAATGTTATTACTTTGTAGTTTTTTTCCACACTGTCAAATATTTTATTTATGTTACTTCTGTCAGTAGTTCTTTAATTATTTATTTCATTCAAAATCTTTATGCGAAAACCCATCGCTTTATATTCATCTTTAAATAATTTGCTAAAAACAGTGATTCGTTTTTCAAATTCAGTAATTACATATGTAAAAGGTTTATTTTCTACAAAATATTTGTTAAATATTGTTTCTGCTTGTGGAGAAACTCTGATGATATTGTTGTGAATTCTGTTATACACTGGTCTATAATTTGCATTTAAAAAATTGCACAAAGATATTTCAGCTTCACACAACTTAGTTTTGCACTCATCAAAATTAGAAAAGTCTGTTACACTTTCTAATATCTGTATCGTAGGCGTTATATCATATTGATATGTTTTATATAATTTTTTAAAAAAATATAATTGCACATATTTCATGTGTTCTAAATATTTACGATATAAAACGAACGTGTCTTCTAAAAATTTCAAGCAATCTTCCTTGTCATTTTCATTGTTTAATGAACTGCACTTTTCAACTACCACCTTGATATGTGCAATAAAACTCACTATGTTATTTGCGTTATAGCAGTTTACAAATATATAAAGATGTCTTACTTTGTCTTGAATATTTTTACTGTTACCATGATTACCATCAGAATCAATTTCTAGTATCTCTTTTAACTTATATGGTCTCATCTCAACATTGTCAAAAATAGCGTCCTCTAAATTCATTGCAAGTTGATTCCATCCTATATTATTTTGTAATAGTTGATTAACTTCACTACTTAAATTTGGACCAAATGAAAATACTACTGGGTAAAAAATGAAGAGCAATACTGAATAAACAAAACACATATTGACGATAAACTTGTATTACTTACTGAATAAATTTTTATGTCCTAATCTAATTAATGTATAATATATGTAAAAGAGTATTAAATTTTTTTATGACCTGAGTCATGAAGTTAAATATAATACGTTTTTTTGTTATATGAAAATGTAAATATAATGATGAAATTCATATTTATTTAATTAATTTTATTACTGGTACAATACCTTTATACGTTTTGCTTGCGTATGTAAAATGAACGCATATAAAAGTTGTGCATAGTCCCTATTCTAATTTTTTTTAATATCTTTTAGCAATAAAATATTACGTCTAAACATATCCTGTTATTTAATAAAACATTAAAAAATTTGACAATGTTAGATAAATTATTCGCAAAGAAGAGAATAGCGTTTAAAAATATCACATTTTTTTAAGAAAAACGCTCATTGCCATCGTTTGCCTTCTTAAGACTTAAAATTTTCACTAGACTCACCTATAGACGTTAATACGTACACCCAAAGAAAAACCTCAATCAATTTTGATAGAGAAATTTTATGAAGGGTTTATGATAATGTTTTATTAATACGAACAAAATAATTATTCTTATGAATAATTATTGTTCAAGACAAGAAAAAAAATCATCATATTGATAAATGTATCATAGATTCAATAGTAATGATATATTTATCAAATTGAACAATGAATTTATTATATAGATCGAGGTTTTTCTCTGAGTGTATAGTTCTTTATGATACAGTTTTATGTCTGTGCATTAATAAAACATCAAGAAAAGTTATTTTTGTGATTTATATATATAGAATGTTCAATTTATTATAAACAACTCGATTACTCATAAAATAAACACAGAATCGAGAAAAAAATTCTTGATTTTTTTTGTTACTTGATTTATTAGTTAAAAACCACTTTTTAGAATTATCCCTTATAATTTATAGTAGTGTCCTCTGATTTTTTTCAAATGACAACGTGCATAATTAACTAGATTATTTAATAGATAATGATATAATTAAAAAAATAACTGGTCATTTTGAAATACTAGTCCAAAAGTTGTTATCGAACATCTTGTATTGGCTTTTTTTCCACTTAACAACCTAATTATAAAATATTAAGTACTATTGTTAATAATTTTGACCAACTACGTTTTTCTTACCAACAACAAAATAAAGCTTTTAGAAGTTGCAACTAGATATTATTCTAGAATTAGATATATTAGGTTAGAATATATTTGTAGGCCTATATGTATAAGCTAGTCTTTGAGCCTAATGTCTTTGCTTTAACAAGCATTGCGTCGGGGGACAGCGCAAAGAAACTTACAAATATATTTTTAGTGTTTAATTTTTGTCTTGGTGATTATTATGCCGCATCCATTCAAGGCGCTTTCTAGTGCCGGGACACATTGGGCCACCACAATTCCGCCTTGATAAATTTTTTTACACAGATATAAATATTTCTGAATTTTGTTTTGGCCAGGCCAGAGGAAAATTTAAGAAATATTGGTGTCAATCTCTCTATAAAATATACTCTCTAAAAAAAAATACTTGTTTAACATACGTAAAAAAATCAATAAGTAAAAAAAATTTTAATTATATTTATAATAAAATATAGTGTTTAGAATCTTTTACAAGTAAGATCAGTCATAGACTTTGTATAATTAAATCTTATTAATTAAAATTTTGAATAGTTTTTGTAAGTAATTATATTAACTATATGACGTATAGTGTAAATCGTGCATTTAATACCAAAATCAACATTGGATTACTTGAAATATTATTGCATTACACAGGACGTAAGGTAAGTACAATTTAATCTATGCTTTCGAATCTCCAACAATCTATTGCGTAATAAACCATCAATAAAAATTAAATAGGAAAATTAATAATTAATAAAAGAAACAATTAATGAAAAAATTAATTAATAAAAATTAAAGAGAGTAAATTAAAAAAATCTCATAAATAATAATATTATAAATATATTGATAATTTTAATTCAAATTTCTTATTCTTTTCTTTTCTTTTATTTTTATTTTTGGTTTATTACATGATAACGTTCTCAGCTGGATTCATTTTTTACTTTGTCAGTGGCAGCCACTAAGGTTAGACGTGTTTTGTGAGCTCGGGTATTTTCGTTTGTTAAAAAAATCGATCAAAGGATTTATATCAAATGTTGCGTAAAAATTAAATAAATTGTAACAAAGTTTGTGAAATGATAAAAATGTCCTATGTTGAGCCTGCCATAAGAGAAACAATCTTATATTCTAAAATTCTATTCTGTTTGTTTTTTTTCAGATGCTGTAGATTAAACATCCTCATAAAAAATGTAGCTACCAGTAGAAATTTAAAAATATATCGGATGTTAGTACAGACTCCATTTTACTTACAACGCTTATGTGTTTGAATATACTTGTTTAATTAATATTTAATTAGTATAATAATTATATAAATTTGTACAATAATTATATACTATATAATATTTATAATATTATAATAAATACTAATATTTATAAGTTTCTAGGTATGTGAAATATTTTACGATATGTTACAATGACATTTTGTGTCCAAGAAATGGCTAATAAAATTACTATATAAAATAATTTAACTGTTAAATTAAATACATATACTTAATTAATAGTTAAAAAAAAATTGTTGCCGTGATTGTATCACGTAGTGTAAAATAAACCTTGAGAATTGGTTTGCTCAAGTATCACTTTTTTTACCTTGGTACATTCAAGTTATATGTGTATAAACACATAGTTTGTGTACGAGATGTGTTCAGAATATAACGGGAATTTTTAAATATCGCGAGTTTGGAGAATCTGATTATAACATTTTTTTTTTCATAATGTTGACAAACACAAAAATATATTTAATACATATCATAGTAAAATTAATACCACATCAATTTCTGAAAGAAATTAAACTAGCAAAATATAAATATAAATAATTTAATATTCATTTATTTAAAATTGTAATAAAAAATATATATGGCAATCAAAAATTATGTAAGTTGTAATATTGCAGAATTTATACAAGTTTTTTTTTAATAAATCTTATCAATTAGATGTGTGTGCAGTAGATGTAAAGTATTTTAATAATTGTGTATGTGATAACCTCCACTAGTCAACCGGTCCGATATCTGTCATCCTATCGTCATCAGCTGACCATACACTATGTACCTATACCCATATTGTTGTATTTCCCCCAAATGGACGTGTCAAAGTTGGTACCACCACCACCCGGCGTCACAATCACCGGTCACTACAAATGTCGTGACAACNCCCGGCGTCACAATCACCGGTCACTACAAATGTCGTGACAACGTACATTTTTTTTTCTCAACTATACTACTGAGGCGACAAGTCATATTTTGTCTATATTTTTTTTTGTTGTGAAAACCTCGTTTTTTTTTGTACACGTATTTTTTGTCCTCCGTTTTTTTTTATTAAAATAAACGTCGAGTCGACCTGCCATCTACTTGTGGTGTCAACCAGACTGTATTTTTTTGTCCTCCGTTTTTTTATTAAAAAACGTCGAATCGACCTGCCGTCTATTTGTGGTGTCAACCAGACTGTATTTTTTTTTGTCCTCCGTTTTTTTTTTTAAATAAAACGTTGAGATGCAAATGATGATGATGATGTGAGGCACAACTATGGCCAGTGGTGGGCCGTCACTCCTCAACTCAACCAACGACAAGTATCCATAAACTCCCCCTGTTCTACCCCATTATTAATATTATGTATATAGCACCTCTTTTTGCTTTCTTTTTTATTATTCTTTCCTTATGAATAAATATATTTAAAATAATAATTATAAATTTTCAATAATTAAAAAAAAAAAATATTATATTATACATGGCCTTTATCTTTTTATTAACATTTTTTTTTTATCAAAACCTAGTAGCTCCGTCAACAAGTACTATCTTGCTTGGCATGGCTACTAGGTCACTGTCCAGTCTTCCCCCTGGGCAGTGGGTAATTAGTAGGCCCTCTGTTTTGGCTGAAACCTTACAAAGTGAATACGATTAGTAAATAAAATACGGTATAACGTTTATTAATTTTATATTACTGTAATAATAAAACCCACTTCATTATTAAATAATTATTAAAAAATCATCTTCAACATAATCAATTTAAACCTATCATTTTTTAAAAAAATTTTATCGGAAATCAACAATCTTTCTATTATTTCAATTGCGTTTTTGAAAGATGTATTCAATTCAAGTAATTCCTCAAATTTCTCTACTAGAACTGTGATATTTTCATTTCTAATATCATCTTTAAGAGGTCTACAATTTGACTTTACAAATGCACATATTGATTTTTCAGTTTCAAACCCTTTATTATTACAGACATCAAAATTAGTAAAGATTGATACTTGTTCTAATATGTTTATTGTAGTTGATAAATCGTCTGAATATTTATTATGTAATTTTTCAGAAAAAATAGAAGAAAAAATAGATAGGTGAAGGTGTGGTCTTATGATGGAAAGGATAAGTGTTGGCGTTGTCTTATGACGGTGGAGGTAAGAGTGTTAAGGTCATTCAAAATGGCGGTTTTTTAAACTATAGTGCGCATGCATTATAATTTATTGCCAAGGATGGGGAGATGGTTCATACGTAGCTGTTCACCTCCTACGGCGTCATTTACTGGAGGATAGGGTAAACTAAAACTCACGATAACTGATATGTCAACTGATAAACGTACGCATTACATTAAAAAGTGCACGTTAAGTAGGCGCCGCCACCGTCGCTGCCACAAGTATACTTGACTATTCCTTTAACATATTTACTTTATATTGACGCTACAGGGTTCACCTTAAACATATTCTAAAGAGGGAGGGGGTAATGAAACTTAACATGAACTAACCTGTAATAGGTGGGGTGGGGATGAAACCCGACGTAAACTAATATGCCGCACGTCTATAGATTGTATATAATAAATCATTTTCTCAGAATTTTATCATGGTCTACCAGACGCTTAGGTAAGCATATTTCCAACATCTTTGATGTTACCGTACAATATTGTTCACTATGGTATTCATTTTGTGAGAAAAATGGCATC